CAGTCAACATTCAAAGTGATGGCTTAGGCCTCAAATCACTTCTGTGATGTCCCATGCCTCATTCTGCTGCTGGTCTCTCCTGCTGCTGCCAGTGTCCTTGAGGTTAGCAGTGTCTAAGTCCAAATCCCAGCTACCAGATTAGGGAAGAATTGTATAACATGTTTTTAATTTTACTTTCTCAATTAGTAGGAAGAAACAAATACAGGAATTTCTCACTTTTCAGTATGATTAGGTTCCAAAGACCAGGTCATTGTGCAAAATCAGAATTATTCCTGGAAGAGAAAGTTGCAGAGGTGTGTCAGAGTCAGTAACTGCTGTACACCCACCATTCCTTCCAGTCTGAGGGTCAGGCCTGAAACTAGGCTGGAAGCACAGGAGCCAGCTCTAGAACTCAACCAAACAGCAACCTGGGCCAACTTGAGCCTGGAGTCAAGACGGTTCATAATAATTGCTTCTCATGCCCATGCTTACCATAGCAACTGCTTCCATACCCTAAACATCTACTGTCACCCCTCAAACTAAGGAAGACCTTACATAATTTTTTTTTTTTTTTATGTGTGTACCATCAAATTGGATCTGACTGGTACAGGAGGCGACTGTTCCTCCTTCTTCAGCAGAGCATCTGGTGGATTTGAACCGTGCACTTCTGGGATTGCAGTATAATTTCCTGCCACTAAGCCACCAGAGCTCGCCAAGACCTTACATAATTAAGCAGCACACTGCTAGTCTTAATGGGCTTATTTCAGAGATCAAAAGCTTCTAGACTAACAAATGCTTTGAAGAGGAACTCAGCAGCCCAGGCTACGGAGGGGTAGAAGGCAAGGTGGCAATTAACTCCGACTGCAGCCCCCAGTTCCTGAATTTCCTTCATTCCCTTCGAGATTGCAGTGCAGCTTCTTGGCACTAGGCCACCAGTGCTCATAAATGGGCATAAAAACAACAGAAGCTAACAAATTTAAAGGTTGTGTTTCAAACTTAATCATCAGTGCCTGCTTCCATAAAGATAATTGTCAAGACAAAATCCAACACCCTACCTGATCAAGACACTGAGCAAAAGTGAAATAGAAGGGAATTTCCACAATATGTGAAAAGTATATATGCAAAATCAAGAGTCAATATCACTCTCAGTGGAAAAAAACTAAAGACATTTTCCTTGCAAACAGGAACCAGACAAGGATGTCCAATGTCACCACTTCTATTCAATATTGTATTGGATGTGTTGGCTAAGGAAATACAACAAGAGATGGAAATAAAAGGCATCCAAATGGCAAAGACTGTTTAAATATCACTATATGCAGATGATATAATAGTGTACATAGAAAACCCCAAAGACTCAACAAAAAAAAAGCAAAACTGTTAGAGGTAGTAGGCCAGTTTAGTAGAGTGGCAAGATATAAGGTCAATATCCAAAAATTAGAGGGATTATTCTACAGTAACAAACAGAACTCAGAGTAGGAAACCAAGAAAACAATACTGTTTAAAATAGCCAACCACAAACTGAGATACTTGGGAGTGAACATAACTACAGATACAAGAGACCTATACAAAGAAAACTACAGAGCATTTCTGAAAGACACAATAAAAGACCTAAAGAAAAATGGAAAAATGTGCTCTGTTCATGGTTAGGAAGACTCAAGACTGTGAAAATGGCAATCCTACCAAAAGCAATCTACATATTCAATGCAATACCAATACAGATACCAAAATCATTTTTCAAGGAGCTTGAAAGGGAAATAGTCAAGTTTATTTGGAGAGCAAGAGATCCCAAATAAGCAAAACACTTATGAGAAACAAAAATGAAGTGGGAGGTATAGCACTCCCTGACCTTACAATCTATTACACAGTGATAGTAATCAAAACAGCATGGTACTGGTACAATGACAGGCAAATAGATTAGTGGGACAAAACTGAGAACCCAGAAATAGACTGCGATCTAGGGTCAACTGATATTCAACAAGGACATCAAAGCTACTGAACAGGGAAATGACAACCTCTTCAACAAATGGTGCTGGCAAAACTAGCCAGCTACCTGCAGAAAGCTGAAACAGGATCCACATCTCGTATCATACACAAAAATCACCTCAAGGTGGATAAGAGACTTGGGAGTAAAGCCCAAAATCATAAAGTTCATAAGAGACAAACTGGAATCAAGCTTAGAAGCCCTAGTCTATGATATAAAGAGACTGCCAAATACAGCCAGAAATATAAAATCTGAAGAGGATAAAACTGATGAATGAGACCTTCTAAAGATTAAATTCCTGTGTTCATCAAAAACTTTTTCCAACAGGGTGAAAATAAAACCTACTGACTGGGAACAAACAGTTGGCAATACCATCTCAGACAAGAGTTTCAAAATGAAAGTTTATCGAATACTCCTGGGCCTACACAAGAAAAAGATAGATAACCCAATTACAAAATGGGTAAAAGACATGGAAAAAATTTTCACAGAAGAAGATATTCAAATGGCCAACGGACATATAAAGAAATGTTTCATATACCTGACAATAAGAGAGATGCAAATCAAAACCACAATGAGATACCATCTCACTTCAGTAGTGGTGGAAAAGTTTAACAAGACAGCAAGTAATAAATGTTGGGGAGGATGTGGTAAGATAGGAACTCTGTTACATTGTTGGTGGGATTGTACAAGGGTACAGCCACTTTGGCACTTCCTCAAAAAGCTGAACATAGAAATTCCATATGACCCAGCTATTCCATTGCTTGGAATATATACCCCAAGAAAATGAGAACTGAGCCTCAAATGGAAACTTTTACACCAATGTTCATAACAACATTATTCACCACTGCACATGGAAACAGCCCAGATGTCCAAACACAAACTAATGGATTGAGAAGTTGTGGTACATTCTCACAATGGAATATTACACAGCACACAGGAACAATGGTTTTGTAAATTATTACCCAACTTGGGAGGGACTGGAGAGCATTATGCTGAGTAAACTAACTCAGACCCACAAGGACAAATACTGTATAAAACTGCTATAGTAGAATGAGTATAAGGATCCAAGGTGAGGGGGAGGCTAGAAATAGAGGGGTGAGGATGGGGAGGGGAGGGTGTTAATCATGGGGTTGCACAATTCAATGAGTGGGTGGGGTGAAGGAAATGGGAAGCATCCTTTGTGAAAAACATATTCAAACTCTATAAATAAATCAGAATAAAAGAAAAAAATATTATGGTCAAGAAAATCCTATGGTGTACAATCTGGAGAGGGTAACACTGACGAATGGGAGCTTCTAAAGATTAAGACCTTGTATGCATCAAAAACCTTCAGTGACAGGGTGAAAAGAAAAACGACTGATTGGACAAAAACATTTAGCAATGACATCTCAGGCAAGAGTCTCATAATGAAAATTTACAGAATACTACTGGGCCTCCACAAGAAAAAGTCTGATAATCCAATTTCAAAATGGGGGAGGGAAAATGGACAAAAGATAAGTAAAGACTTTTCACAGAGGAAGACATTCAGATGGTCAACAGACACATTTTACTCAAAATCATTGGCAATAAGAGAGATGCAAATAAAAACTATAATGAGATACCATCCTACCCAGTTTTTGTCATCGTTAGGTGCCATGGAGTTGAATACATTTCATAGTGACCCTATGAACATAAGATCTGAACTCTCTTCTATCCTGCACCATCCTCACACTTCCTGACACACAAGGGTCCACTGTGGCAGTCACCATGTCAAACCACCTGGCTGAAGGTCTTTCTCTCCTTCACCAACCTTCCACCCTTCCTAGCATCAATCCCTCTCCAAAGAACAGCCTTTCTTAGCAACAAATGCAAAGTATTTGAGGTGAAGCCTCGTGATTCTTGCCTCCAAAGAGCACTCCAGCAGCATCCTCTCCAAGACATATCTGTTTGTTCTTTTGGCTGTCCATGGAATGTTCAGTGCTCTTCTACAACAACACAGCTCAAAGGTGTAGCAGTGGCAAAGTTTAGCAAGACAGAAAAGCAATAAATGTTGGTGTGGGAGATATACTGTTGGTGGGACTATAAAATGATGCCACCACTCTGGAAGGTAGTTTAGTGTATCCTAAAAACCTGGACATAGAGATTCCATATGAACCAGCTGTCCTACTGCTAGGAATATACTCCAAGGAAAATAGAACTGAAATATAAAAGGATATTTGTACACCAATGTTCATAGCAGCATTATTAACCATAGCAAGAACATGGAAACAGCTGAAATGTCCATCAACAAACGACTAGATTGAGAAACTATGGTATATTCACACAATAGAATACTGTGCAGCATCCAGGAGCAATGATTTTGAAAAATACTATATAGCTTGGGAGAGACTAGAGAGAATTATGTTGAGTGAACTAACTCAGGCACATAAGGACAAATACTGTATAAGGCCATTATTGTATAAGCAGAAGGATAACCAGTGAGATGTTCACGGATATATAAAGAGGGAAGTGGATAGCGGATGGGTCCCGAGAGTGGGGAGGGAGGGAATTGCAGGGTCGAAGAATTTGGTGGGTGGAGGGAGAGAGCAAAAAAATAAAAGGTACATGAGTGAAACACAATTTAAAAAACAGAAAGCTCTATAGAACAGTTCTACTCTGTAACATATAGAGTCATCATAAATTGGAATTGCCCCAACAAAAATTTTGTTTGGTTTTGCTTTATATATAAACACAGACAGACATGTGCATACACACAATATTTGGAGAGAAAAGAGCAATGGAAGAAAGATGATAGAAAAGAATCATTGGAAATAAAATAATTGTCCGAAATTTCCTTAGAGCAGCCCTTCCTTAAAAAGAATATTTGCTTAATGATTAGATATATAAAGCATCCAAAACATTTTACTAAAACATCTACTCGAATAATCTATTGCTTTTCCTTTTCCATATTACCCGTACACATGATACTTTGCCTCTGAAACAAACAGGCAATCTATTGTTAATCAGATCTCATTACAGTGACTCTCCTTTCACTATCACATAAGGAATAAGAGGTACAAACCATCCACTGGTCATGAGAAAGTGCGAAGGATAAGTAGCCTTTACTGGGACCACTCATTTCAACTATCACTGATTGGTCCTTTCTTCTGAAGGACAAGAAGACACAGGCATGGTCCTTCTCTGGGTCACAGTCCAAAGGGTTCCTAACACAGAACTTCATGTTCCCACAGTCCGAAGCACTGAACTAGAAAAAGAATATGAGAGGGAAAAAATCTTAATCATCAAATAAGCAGTTCATTGCCAATGAGAAAAGAAGTCCTACATTGAAGCAGGAGTTCTAACAAGAATACCTTTTCAAACCAAGGATTTAGCTGAAGGAACAAAAGACAATCCAAATTAGAAATTATCAGAAAAGTATTTAGGCGGTGAACTTTTAACCTCAATTAATTTTAATTAAAATTGGGAAAGCACAACATTAGTTTAATTGCAACAGTGCAAGAGTATTAACATCAAACTGCATAACCAGTACTTTGTAAAATTTATTTACACTTCAATTACACATAGTGGGCTTAAAAAAAAATACAGTATTTTTATTTACTTACCTCTAAACTTGAATTCATCTGTGTGAAGCATTGCAAAATGGTACATTTAACTTTTCTGAATACCATTACAGTGTACAAAAGTTTTCATTGGTTTTATTTTTCTACTGTTACTGATAAGAACATGACACTGACATTTTTATACATATAATATGGTATGTTATATATATAATCCTACATATAGCTGGCATTTCAAAAATATGTATATATAAATATGTTTATAACTATAATTATTATTATAAATAATATATCTAGATTATTATTGTATAATTTATATTATGCCTATAATACATTATATATAGGGAGCTCTGGTAGCCTAGTGGCAAGAAGCTGTGCTACAATTCCAAAAGCACAGAGTTCAAGGCCCCCCACGGGAGAAGGATGGGCAATCTCTTCCCATGTGATTAATTAATTGCCTCTGAAAACCAACTGGAGTGTCAGCTATGGGTCAGATCTAACTCTACAATACACAACAACAACAACAACATATTATATATAATAAATAATATCTTTATATTGTTGTTGTTGTTGTTGTTGTTGTTGTTGTTGTTGTTCTTGTTTACCTTCGGGTCGGAACAGACCCATAGCTGACTTTCCCGCAGGTTTTCAGGGGCAGTTATGAGAAGAAACTGCCCATCTTTTTCCCAAAAAGCAGCTGGTGGATTTGAACCACGTGCCTCAGGATTGCAATGTAGGTTCTTACAATGTAGGTTCTTATAATGTAGGCCACCAGACAATGTAGGTTCTTATAATGTAGGCCACTAGAGCTCCCTTAACTCACACAACAGCAAAACTGAAATATTAGCTCCTGGAGGTTACTTCTATCTCTAAAAAATGCTATATTCATATGACTGTTGATTAATTACCATATAATTAGAGATTATAAACTTGGCTGTTGTTGTTGGGTGCTATAAAGTCAAATACAACTCATAGCAACCCTATGAACAACATATTTGAGCTAATGCCTTCCATGGGAATAAATACACAGAATGACAAAAAAACACTGTTGATAAAATATAAGTAAACGCAGGACCAATGTAAATACCTTTCCTCTAAAATAGTTCTTAAATAAATAAGCACGAAGACTAATCTGAGAACTCATACAAATTATCTCACAGCAATGTAATCAAATAGAAAGGCTTTTAATTACAAAATTAAGGAGGAAAACAAAGAAAGACATTTAAACTGGGCAAAGAGTACTTTATTTAGTCATATTCATGTGAACAGAAAAGAAGCAAAGAATAAGACAAGGAATAAAAGAGAAAATAATTCTGAATAAGTATGAGTTTAAGTTCAAGGCACAGTAAGGCAGTCCACATTCATTATTTTGCTTACAGTGTTACTGTGTAAGAGCTAAATATTATTTCTTATTTTCTAAGTGAAGAAATTGAGATGCAGATAATACAAATAATTTATCCAAAATCTCACAGAAAGTAGGTAAATCAAGATTCATATCCAAGTTCTTTCTTCCTAAAAATTCCCTAAAATTCGTAAAAATTTGCTTCAAGACATTTTTCTAATACCAACCTCTAAGTGAAATGCCTATTATATCAGAATTTCAGGAAGTACCTCTCCCAAAGAAAGGTGACCCAACACAGTGTGGAAACTATAGAACAATCTCACTGATTTCACATGCAAGCAAGATTTTACTGAAGATTATCCAAAAACGACTGGAACAGCACATCAACAGAGAACTACCAGAAGTCCAGGCTGGGTTTAGAAAGGGTCATGGTACTAGGGATATTGTAGCTGATGTCAGATGGATCTTAGCTGAAAGTAGAGAATACCAGAGGAATGTCTATCTGTGTTTCATTGACTATGCAAAGGCATTTGACTGTGTGGATCATAACAAACTGTGCCTGACTCTGAGAAGAATGGGAATCCCAGAACATTTAATCGTGCTAATGCAAAATCTATACTTGGACCAAGAGGCAGTCGTCAGAACAGAGCAAGGGAACACTGCATGGTTCAAAATTGAGAAGAGCGTACGTCAGGGATGTGTCCTATCTCCATACCTTTTCAACCTATATGCAGAGCAGATTATCCGAGAGGCTGGGCTCTATGAGGAGAAGCGTGGGGTCAAGATTGGGGGACGATTTATCAACAATCTGCGTTATGCAGATCACACAACCCTGCTTGCTGAAACTGAAGAGGACCTGAAGCACCTACTGTAGAGGGTCAAGGACTGCAGCCTACAATATGGATTGAGGCTCAATGTCAAGAAGACAAAGATTCTCACCACTGGACCAATTGGCAGCATCAGGATGGATGGTGAAAGATTGAGATTGTACACAGCTTTAGTTTGCTCAGCTCCACAGTCAACAGTCTTGGCACCAGTAGCCAGGAAATTAAAAGGCGCACTGCCATGGGAAAGTCTGCTGTTAGGGACCTCTCCAAAGTACTGAAGAGCAATGGTGTCTCTCTGGAGACTAAGGTGCATTTGATACAGGCCATGGGCTTTGCAATCACTTGTTATGCATCAGAGAGTTGGACAATGACCAAGGAGGATAGAAGGAAAATTGATGCCTTTGAGCTGTGGTGCTGGAGAAGAGTATGGAATGTTCCATGGACTGCCAAGAAAACAAACAGATCCATCCTAGAGAGGGTTAAACCAGGCTACTCCTTGGAGGCAAGGATTCTGGGGCTTCGTCTGACATACTTTGGACATGTTGTAAGGAGAGACCGGTCCTTGGAGAAGGACATCATGCTTAGGAAGGTGGAGGGACGGCACAGGAGGGGAAGGCCCTCTATGAGGTGGATCGATTCAGTGACTGGGATAATCTGGATAGGAGTGTCAGAGACAGTGCGATTGGCACAGGACAGAGCAGAGTTCAGGGCTGTTGTACATAGGGTCACTATGAGTCGAAAGCGACTCGACAACACATAACAACACCTTCTTCCTAATGCTTCTTCTATGCATTGCTCTTTCAAAGATGTGTTTATGCCAGTAATTCTTTTGAATTGAAAACCTAAATGAAATTCTAGCTGATGAGCTTGCAAGAGATTTCCTGTGATTCAGCACATAAAATTCTCAAGTACTAACTGGTCTTATGAAATTATATCTACCATCTCAAGCATCTCCTCTATATTTTACCTAAATTTAACTTAAAATCCCTCTCCATTTTGATATATTTGGTTGGGGCTGGGTGCTATCAAGTCGAGTACAACCCATAGCAACTCTATGAAAAACAGACCGGAACACTATTTTATCCTGTACCATCATCACACTTCCTGACACATTATAGCCCATGTGGCAGTCACTGTGTCAATTCATCTAGTCAAGGGTCTTCCTAGCCTTTGCTGAGTATCCTGTCCCGCTCCAAGGAACAGACCAGCCTAGCAACATGCCCAAAGTATGTGAGGCAAAAACATCATCATGGGGAGCTCTGGTGGCCTAGTGGCAAGAAGCTGCACTGCACTCCCAGAGGAACACGGTTCGAATCCACCAGATGCTCTGCCGGAGAAGGAGGCGCAATATCCTCCTGTACCAGTCAGATCTGATTTGACGGTACACGCACACAAAATAAAAATAAAAAAATTTAAAAAAAAAAAAAAAAAAACATCATCACCTCTGTTTCCAAAGAGCACTCTGACTGCTCCCTCTCCAAGACATATTTGTTCTTTTGGCAGGCCATGAGATGTTCAGTGCTCTTCTCCAACATCACAGCTCAAAGGCATCAATTCTTCTTCTGTCATCCTTATTTACTGTCCAGCTCTCAGATGAATAGCAAGTGATTAGAAAGAGTATGTCTTGAATAAGAAGCACCTTAGTCTTCAAACTAATATCATTACTCCTCAATAATTTGGAGAGTTCCCTAACTGCAGACTTTCCTTGTGTAATACATCTCCTGATTTCCTGACTGCTATAACAAGGGTGTTAATTGTGGATCTAAATAAGATGAAGTGTTTCAGGTCCTCCTTACTTTCAGCAAGCACGGTTGATTTTGAAACATAGCCACTGCTTGGATAGACGCCTTGTGAATGTCAGAACTACTGAGCATGCAAGATCTTGTCTTATCTTTATTGTAACTCACAAATCACAGCGTTCCAATGAGGTATTCCAAATTTCCTACATAGAACTAAAAATATTTGCTAACACAAGGCAAAACACGGTTTCTCTAAACACTACCTCAAGCAAGCAAACACAATTTCCAAGGAAATTTATTTCAGGTTATATTTGGTGAAATCATAAAAAGATTACTTACTGATCTGGTTAAATGAGAAACTGGGGACAATGTTGACAACAGTGGTATTGTAGCTCCACGCGTTGTAAAGGGAAGTGAGTTTGGTAGTGAAATTACAGGGCCAGGAAGCTTCACCCAGAATGTTTTATATTTCTCAACAACTGTGGCTCTGAAAAACAGTAAAAGTGAAATTAGATAAAACTCTAACTGTGCCCTATCATAATCAAATTATGGCTTTTAAACAGAAATAAATTAGGGACACACAACTTCACGGTGGTATAGTGGTTAAGCATTCAAGCTGCTGTTAATTAAAAGGTCACTGATTTGAAATAACTACTCCAAGTGAGAAAAATGTGGTAATCCACTTCCATAAAAGATTGCAGGTTTGGAAACTTTATGGGCAAGCTAGTTCCACTCTGCCCTCCAGGGAACTCTGGTGGCTTAGTGATAAGGAGTTATGCTCCCAATTCAAAGGTGTGCAGTTCGAATCCAGCAGTTGTTCCACAGGAGGAAGATGGGTAATCTCCTCCCATGCACTTAACTGCCTCAGAAAACCCACTGGAGGATCATTTATGATTCAGTTTCAACTCAACAGTACACAACAACAACAAAGAGTCATTATGAACTGGAATCAGCAAAATGGGGGTTTAAACTTTTTTAAAATAGTAAAATTAGTCCTCTTTCGTCCAATGTTTTACATTACAATAGTAAAGCTCTCTCTACTTTAGCACCATCTTGCTGGAGACCTCTGAACTGTGAGGGCCAACATGCTCCTGTCTAGAACTTCTGACTCAAGGAATCTAGAACATCTATCACCATTCGATTTTCAGGAATGCCTCTGAGAGGCTCATCTTCCTCCTTTGAAACAAGACCCTTTTTGATCTGTTGCCCTGGATATATGATGTTCTGGACTCTTGTTTAGCTGTGCTTGGATGTAACATGCACAAGAAATTGTCTCTTCTGCAATCTTAGCTGAAGAATCAAATAGTAAAAAAAAAAAAGTAAAATATACCATCTCATTATACTGCAGATTAATGATGTACTTCAGGCAGTATCAAACACCAAGATGCGAGAGTAATGCTAGTTGTAATGATTAAGATTATACATCAATTTGCCTAAATTGTGATTTTTAGTGGTTTGGCAATTACATTGAATTTGGCACTCATGTAATGATGTAGTCATCCTACATTTTGTAATATGATGTGGGCCTTCTCTGTTTTCATGTAACACTCATTTTTGCATAATGATCTGATCTTTTGAGCCAAACTATGTAAATAAGTGAGGAGTTGGTGTACTAATATCATAATGTGAGGAAAAGCTCTTGTTATTCTCTTCCCTCTCATTAGATGAACCTTTATGAGCACTACTCCTCTCTGTTCCTTCTTATCTTTCTACTCCTTTCCCTTCTTACTCTGATGCCATTTCTTTCTTTCTGACTGTGGCTTTTGTTACCAATATGTCTCTTGGGCCTACTTATACCATGAACATTAGACTCAAGGACAAAACTCCCCTGCTGTCTATTATTTTATATATAAAGAAAACACCATTAATTTCATAGCTTCTTGTTGTTGTGTACCATCAAGTCAGAACTGACCCAGAACTGACCCTCCTGCAGATTTTTAGAGTCAGTTAACCACATAACAGGAGAGTGCCCATTTTTCTCCTGTAGAGCAGCGGGTGGATTTGAACCATGTGCCTTTGGGTTGGCAATGCAACTCCTTACCACTAAGCCACCACAGCAAGTGATTTAAATTCTTTCAAAAGGTTTTTATAGTAGACATCAACATCAAGAACCTTCATATAAAACCTTCAACAATTACTGGAGTTGCATCCCCCCGCCCCAAGTCATGATACATAAGTGCAAAACTGTGCTTCCATGTGCTAAGGATGCATACACAATCATCAGATGGCTTTAGGACATTCTATTTCTCTTTCTAGGTAGAATTAATTAATAAGTACTATTTTGCTTCCACCAAGTTTCAAAATTTCGAAGAGTATGATGGCTCATTTTTTTCTGACATTCTAATCTATAAATTTATCAGTGAAAAAAGGTTATCTAAATTTCAGGACTGTTTTATTCATATTTATTTTTTATTTATACTTTAATACTAATATGGAAACAAATATTTTTTTAAAAATTAAGTCTATACTATTAATTGATGGCTACTATTATTATGTTGGTAGCTCAATATTTCATTCACTTACTCAACACAAAAAATCAAGAGACATATCAAATTGGGAAAATCTGCTGTCAGGGACTTCCCAGAGTAATGAAGAATAATGATGTCTATTTAAAGACGACCGTTTGCACTCTTCCTGGATGATACCCTTGATATCCTCCCACAACTCATCTGGCCTTCGCTCATTAGTGTTCAAAGCCTCAAACCTGTTCCTGAGATGGTTCTGAAATTCAGGTGGGATAGACTCAAAGTCATATTTTGGTTGCCTTGGATTTGGTTTAATTTTCCTCACCTTCAGCTTGAATTTGCATATAAGTAGTTTGTGATCTGTTCCACAGTCACCTCCTGGCCTAGTTTTCACAGCTGATATTGAGCTTCTCCAGCGGTTCTTTCCACAGATGTAATCGATCTGATTCCTATGCATACCATCAGGTGAAATCCAGGTATATAACCTGCGTTTATGTCTCTTAAAAAATGTATTTGCAGAGTGTCAAGGACTATAGCCTACAATATGGATTGAGGCTCAATGTCAAGAAGACAAAGATTCTCACCACTGGACCAATTGGCAGCATCAGGATGGATGGTGAAGAGATTGAGACTGTTCACAGCTTTAGTTTGCTTGGCTCTGTAGTCAACAGTCTTGGCACCAGTAGCCAGGAAATTAAAAGGCACATTGCCATGGGAAAGTCTGCTGTTAGGGACTTCTCCAAAGTACTCAAGAGCAATGGTGTCTCTCTGGAGACTAAGGTGCGCCTGATACAGGCTATCATCTTCGCAATCACTTGTTATGCATCAGAGAGTTGGACAATGACCAAGGAGGATAGAAGGAGAATTGATGCCTTTGAGTTGTGGTGCTGGAGAAGAGTATTGAGAATACCATGGACTGCTAGGAAAACAAACAGATTTGTCCTGGAAAGGGTTAAACCGGTGGCTCCTTGGAGGCAAGGATTCTGAGGCTCCGTCTAACATACTTTGGACATGTTGTGAGGAGAGACCAGTCCTTGGAGAGGGACATCATGCTTGGGAGGGTGGAGGGACAGCGCAGGAGAGGAAGGCCCTCTATGAGGTGGACTGATTCAGTGACTGGGATAATCGGGATGGGTGTGCCAGAGACAGTGCGATTGGCACAGGACAGAGTGGAGTTTAGGGCTGTTGTACATAGGGTCGCTATGAGTCGCAAGCGACTCGACGCACATAACAACAACAACAACATTTAAAGACACAGGTGTTTTTGATACAAGTCATGGTCTCCGCAATTGTTTGCTATACATATGAAAGTTGAACAATGACTAAGGAAGACAGAAGAATAGATGTCTTTGAGTGTGGTGTTGGAGATTACTGAATATCCCATGAACTGCCATGAGAACAGGTAGATCTGTCCTTGCAGGGTCCTCTTTGGAGGCAAGGATGGTGAAACTCTATCTTACCTAGTTTGGGCATGTTGTTAAGAGGGGCCAGTTTTTAGAAAACAGCATCATGCTTGGAAAAGTGGAGGATAAGTGAAGGAACAGAAGACTCTTAGCGAGATGGATTGACAGGGTGACTATAACAATGAGATCAAGTGTGGCAGAGTTGGTGAGGATGATATAGAATAGGGTAAGGTTTAGATCTAGTGTTCATAGGTTTGCTAAGAGGTGCAGATGACTCAATGGCACATAACTACAACAATATTAAGTGCCTATTAGGAGTCAGTTTATTTAAAATGTTAGGTATATACTGATGAAAAACAAGTGGGCAAACCAAACAACCTCTTGGAGCAGTTGTTGTTAGTTGGCATCAAGTTGGTGCCCAAATCATAGTGACCCAAAGCACAATAAAGCACTGTGATTATTTCACCAATCATGTGTAAATGTCCAACAGGTGTAGAAGTTATACAAAGCATTACTGCTCTAATTACATTGAGCTACAGAGTTGCTGTTAACTCTTCTACTTACAGAAACTGTATGTGATCAGGGCTATTGCTTGGAGCATTCCAGAAGACCTCTATCTCATTTTTCTTGGATGGATTTCTATGAGTCACAGCTGACCCCTGGGAGGTGAAATGTGGGGGAAGGAAGGTGGAGAATTACCATTCAATCACATTGCTGGAATTGCTATCATTTTGTAAAGTATTTTATGATCACAAGACCTTAGCATTCTAGTGAAGATGATTTTATCTAGAACAGGTATTAAATAAATACATAATGATTGGTTGGTAAGAGCAGTAGGCTCTGTGAATAAATCACAGCTGACAAATTAAGAACTAAAGAAAACAACGGACACTGGAAGGACTGATGCAATACGAAGAGTCTGCACATTAGTTCTATTCTACTACAAATTTCTATTCTTTCCATCAATTGATACAAAGGGAATGAAGATTTTTCAAAATAAAAATAATTTTCCCTCCAAATATGTGGCATTAGCTACTTTTCTATTGGACAATATTGTCTCCCACACCTTATTCACCTGGTAAACGGCTACTAATTCTGTAAAGCTTAGTCTGATGATCAACTTTTCCAAGCATCTCTCTCAACTTGCTCCAGTCTGAATGCGGCCTCTTCTGCTATGTTCTCCACTCAGCTAAATTCTCCTAACCTAATTTATGACCTAATTGTTCTTCTTATGTATCTGTTCTATCCAGTAAATCTTGCCCATCACCAGATTTCTTACACTGAAGACAACAGTTCCTGAATTAATGTTTTAAAATTCGTTAATAGCAAGTATTAGGCTCTATCACACTCTAGAACGCTAGAAACAGTTGTTACTTGTTGTTGTTGTTGTTGTTACTGTTAGGGGCTGACAAATTATTCCCAGACTCATGGTGACGTTGAGCACATGGAAGGCCGCATTTCCCAGGAATCCTCACCACTGGGTACAGGTGGTGGGACCCTTGGGGGCTATAGGGTCTTCAATGGCTTTATTTTTACTGACGTAAATTACCACCAACTTACAGCTGACCCTCCAGTGGGTTTTCAGAGGCAATAAAGGACAAGGGAAGAGATTCACCCATCTTTCTCCCTCTGAGAAGCTGATGGATTCAAACCACCTTTGGGTTAATACAAGAACAGCTCTCACCAGAGCTTCCCTAATCATCAATATTGTTGTTTGTTGTTGTTGTTGTTGTTGTTGTTGTTGTGTACCACTGAGTCAGAATCGACTCATAACTGGACCTCTGGCAGATTTTCTGAGGCAGTTAACTGCACGGGAGGAGACTGCCCATTCTTCTGCCATGGAGCGGCTGGTGGACTTGAACCGCGTGTCTTCAGCATTGCAGCATAGCTTCTTGCCACTAGGTCAAGTATCAGTATTAAAAAAAGAGTTAAAATTATATAAAACAAAAAAAAGCTTTTCGAACTGGTCAGTCCTTTTTTAAGACTGGGCATTTCAAAAAAAAAAAAAAAAGACTGGGCATTTCAAGAGCTCTGGTGGCATAGTTCCTAGAGACTTGTGTGCTAACCCAAAGGCCACACTTCTCTGGCGGTTCAAGTCAGTGGCTGCTGGAGGACAGGCAATCTCCTCCCATGAGATTTACAACCTCAGAAACCCTGCTGGTGGGTCAGCTATGGGTCAGTTCAAACCTGACAGCAATGAGAGAATAAACTTGGGAAAAAGGTAGGATTATAGATCTAGTCAGATCCCTGCAGCACTTGTGAAATGCCACTGTTTATCTTGCAACCACCGTCCCAAAGGGAAAAGGCTCAGGGAAACAGAAACCAAGCCCAAACTGAAGACAAACCTGTGTATCTTCACAAGTAAGAACCTGCGACAATTCAGCGTCAATCAGTGTGAAGGTGCCAACAAGAGGGTCGTTCAAATTCTCAGCATCACGAGCTTCTAAAAGAAAGCCTCTAAACGGTGGCCCTGACAAAGTCACTGAGAAACACAAAAATATGAGGTTAAGGTTTAGTAACATCCTAAAGAGGAAATCGTTTCGAGGAGGCACATCAAGTTCATCATAATTATATCAAATTAAGAACTTAGTTACATTTTTCTTTTAGTTAGAGGTCAAAGTTTATCATGAACATGTTGGTAGTGTTATGTACCGGAGTCAGAATCAACTCATAGTTGATATTCCGGCAGGTTTTTAGAAACAGTAAATTTGCACAGCAGAAGATTGCCCATCTCTCTCTCTCTCATAGAACAATCAGAGGATTTGAACTTTCTGCCTTTGGTTTTGACAGCACAACTCCTTACCACTGAGCCATCAGAGGTCTTTAACCATGAGCAGCCTAAAATGAAATAGCTCCTGGAAAACACTTAAGGCTCTAATTAAAAGAAAACTCTTTTTTTTTAATAGTCTAAATAAAGAGATTATTTATGTAGCTTAATTAGAAACATTCTAAACATTCTAAATACAGATTCAGGTTTAATGAACCTCTTAACTGATATTAACAGCAATGCTTTAAAAAGTAACTTTAGTGTGTGTCCTATTACTATGAATAAATAAGAATATAATTTTTTTTTCCAAAGCAAGAATCAGTTGCTAAAAAGGATTCTAATAATATGTACTTCAACATTAAAACAATGGTGGAAGACAAAGTCCAACAGAAGAAATCCAAATTATCCCAACATTATTCTTCTTTCCTCCTTTTTTTCTTCTCCTTTCTTTTCTGTTGTAAATTCTTCAGGTCAGCCATTACATTTAAAGTCTTTCATACCCACATAATCACAATAATCACAGCATTGAACAACAGTGGCGTTGAAAATACTATAGAAATGAACACTCCTCTTGAATCAAAAGATTGGTAGTTTGAAAATAACCTCCAGTTCATTGCAGCTATTTGATTATTATATTCTGCACAATACACTAAAATTACTAAGCATAAGAAATGCCCAATCTGTAGTTTATATCTTTGGGTTGAGAAACAGGTGAGGAGCAGGCAGAGGATACGGAACACAATGAGCCCTATGAGCCTCGGTTCAGTCCAGTCTGTCTGCTCGAGCACCGAGGGAATGCTGATCGCGAAGTCGGTGACTGAGAAGGCGGACGACCAGAGCACTCTCTTTTAAAAAAAAAACAAACAAAACCCTTCTACTTTCTGTAGGGATGTTTTCAATTATATTATTCCATTGTGCATTTCTGGCATACTTTCCACTCAAACTTAATAGAGTTTTATTATCAGGTAAATTTTACTTAAACCTAATTATTCTAAACATAGCAAATTACATACCCCAAAAAGCTCATTGCTACTGAACTGATTCTGACTCATCATAGTGACCTTACAAAACAGAATTTATGTGTATGAAATGTATATATTAGTCATAAATTAAACTTAAAACTCAATGTCATTGGTTGATTCCAACTCACAGGAGCCCTTCATGGGGTTTCTAAGGCTGTAAAATCCTTACCAAAGGAGCCTAAATATCTTTCTCCCTTGGACCAAACTGCCAACTTGTCTGTCAACAGTGCAATATGTAATACACTCTTTACACTCCTTACCACTTATTTAGTGCCAATCAAATAAAACCTAGCCATGGTAGTAGTGTCCCCATGCATTATAACACATTCTCTGATTAACTCCGCCAGGCAGGCACTGTGGTTCATTTTGCAAAGAAGAAACATAAGGGCTAGGTTTCACCCTATTGTGAGATAGAGTCAAATCTAAACCAAAGTCTGATTCCAACCCCACACACTCTCCATTATACCACATTCCCTTCTCAATTACGTGTCACTATAAATGCTACTATCTCTTAAAATAAATAAACAATTATGCTTGTAAATGGCAATTTCAACCCGAAGGAGCCAGCCATGTTAACAGGGAATATACCAACCTGCAGCTTACTGGGTAAGGAGTTGTTCCACCAACCTCAAGGCAAACATTTTGAATCCACTAACTACTCTGTGGGAGAGAGATGGGTAATCTCCTCTCTTGAGATTTACAGCCTCCAAAAACCCATGGAGGGTCAGCTACAGGTTTGTTCAGACATAATGGCAATGAGTTTGAGTTTGTTTGGTTTTGTTAAGTGGTTGAGTTTGGGGTTTATTTTTAGTAAAATATAGGGAACTGATACTAATGTCAAAGACAAAGGTAACTCATCTAGCAGCTCTAATTATTTACTAGGGGGGAAAAAAACAAAACAGAAACACATAGGAAGGATCTGTATTTGACCCCGGCTCTAAAAATTTGGTTAAGTCTCTCATTTTTCTATGCCTCCTTTTCCTTGCTGAAATGAGGAAATGAGACTAAATGATAATGAAATCAAGTAATTTCCAGCTCTAAAACGATGATTGAAAGGAACATGAAGGATAAGAGAATGCTAGCATCTTTTTTAGAAAATAATAGCTTAAAATAAAACAGTATGGGCCAATGTCCAGCTTAGCAACTTTTCTGGTGTCACAGGGAAAACATCTACAGGTATACCATCCGCTGTCGTGCTTTGCTTTATCACACTTCACAGAGAGTACATTTTTCACAAATTGAAGGTTTGTGACAACCCTGCATGTCTATTGGGGACATATTATCCCCAAAGGCATGAGCTCACTTCATAGCTCTGTAATAATTTTTTTTTAATTCTTACTGTATTTCAAACTTCTCCCAATACCATGATACACTTGCACTCTGGTGGCTTAGAGGTTTGGATTTGCTCTGCCAACCCAAAGGAGCCTGTCACTGAGTAGGAACTGACCCATAGCCGACCCTCCAGCAGCTTTTCAGAGGCAGCAGCACAAATCCATACTCATGAGGCTATAAACATAAAGATGATAATAAAAATGTTTTTTTCACTATCTTCTGACTAGGAAACCTGCATATTATTTAAGTAATACTAGTTGAACACAAAAATTAAAAAGTATACTAAAATGAATAAACACATTTAAATTAAATAGCGCATATGTAATAATAATTCAATGACCAGCAAAACAGTGAAATTCAAAATGTCAATAGCTCACTCGAGCACTGTACCTTTGATCTGATCCCCCGGTTTGAATGTTTTCTGATTCACCGAAATGCGGTGCACAGGATGAGTCTGTGGTACGTGGCCATGTTCAGGAGTCATCCCACCACATGACATTGCTACGTTTCCATCGGGATAATTTGCTACAGAACCAACGTGCAACAGAAGTAGAAAGACACCAAGTCTAAATGCAGGAAATGCCATCTCTAAAAAGAAGATTGAGCACATTATTTTAGAATACAATTAAAACAAAATATAAACATTTTTATATCACAGGACAGTAATTCTGGGTAGTCATTTGCTGTGTATTTTAAGTCAACTACATGCTCAAAACATTTAATAAAAACAATGGGATATGTGAAATCTAACCTATCTTTGAATCTCAGGTGATCTGAGTTCACCAACTATTCCATGGCAAAAAGATGGCCAGTCGCCTCCTCTGTGATTTACAGCCTCTGAAAACCTGCTAAAGGATCAGCTTTGAGTTGGTTCCAACTCAGTGGCAATCAGTGAGGGACTTTAGTTACACTCTCTCCAGGGCATGAAGATATGCCCACACAGAGCCTGTGCTTCTGCATTATGCTTCAGTTACCCACACAGACATCCCTGCCCAGTCAGCTGAGTCAACACCCTTATTCCCTTCATAAAAGGTAGATGTCATTCTACTACAATCGTTCATCAACAACAATTGTTGTTGTGTGCTGCCAACCTGACCCATAGCTGACCTTCCAATGGGTTTTCAGAGGACAGTTAATCACAAGGGAAGAGACCGTCCAACCTTCTCCCTTAAAGTGGCTCAAACCATGTTCCTTCAGGATTGTAGCACAGCTTCTTATCACGAGGCCACTAGACCTCCCTTTCATCATTATATCCTAAGCAATTTGAATTTGTTCCATTAAAATCTGGCTTCCAGTGTATTTTGATAGATTACAACTGCTTTGGGGATCATGTAAATTACATGGAGAATACCAAGGTCATGGTTTTAACCAGGTAATTTTGGTCAGGTTATTAAGAAGATTAAATGCTTTAATTGCCACACACCTGAAAGATAATTGAAAGCAGATTTAGTTCATTTTAACAAATAAGCTGTCAAGTGAAAGTAGAAACAAGATTAACAGTCTAGTCCTTTTTATGAATTAAGCAGCTGAATAATGTAAACCTAATTATTTGATTCAATTCTCAGAATCTTCACTAGCAAAAACAGTAAATAAATTACGAGAAATAGATATAAAAACATGTTAGATGCTAAAATTTTATTTTAGGAAAGTGATGTAGAGAAGTAAAATAGCAATTATTACAGCAAGAAGCATGAGACGTAAAAGGGAAGTGACTAAGACACAACCACCTCTCACTCTTCAGGAAAATATAACAAAATCAGAAAGAGAAGTAGATCCTGGCAAGTCCTTTAACCTTTGTTAAATGATCACTATTCAAAATGAACACTGTTTTCATTGCAGTGGTTTCCCAGTAAATGATTTAAAGAACAGGTTCCACCCCTCCCCAGATGAAGGTTTGCATTAACCAATTTATACCAAAAGATTGCCTCATTGCCCTTACTTGCCATAAACTCAGCCCCAGTTCACGGTGGCAGCCAGGTCTGGTCCCAAATTGTCTTCACCATCATTGTTATACCCAGCTGTTGCACTGTTCCATGGTCTGAGTCTTCAACCTGGAAGGCTGCTCTCCCAGCACTACAGCAGATATATTTTGCTGTGATCATATATATGGTTTTCAGACATAGGTCCCTAGGCTTTTCTTCCTCCAACTCAAAATTCAAACTCATTACTTTCACATTAGAACCACCTTAAAGCTGATCCCTACAGCAGGGTTTTGGAAGCTGTAAATCAATGAGAGATTGCTCATCTTTCTCTATCAGAGCTGCTTGTGGCTCAAAAGAGGTTCAAGTTAAAATTATGAAGTGTAGATATAGAAATACAATGAGATCATCCTTCAATGATAGCAAAGCTCACTTATTTATTGCTGGTGAGTATGACTTAACTCAGTGTCCCTCCAGGGAGTTTTCAGAGGCTGTAAATCACATAAAAGTACCCATTTTTCTCCTGGTTGGTGGACTCAAATAACGACGGAGGTACCACCTTTGGGCTAGCAGCACAACTCCTTCCAGATTATGCTCATTTATAACTTTTAAAATTATTTTAATAACCATACCTCATTGTGTATATAATAAAAGGAGTAAAATAAAGATAGCACAACTTTTAAAAGAGTAGGAGTTGTATGGTAATGGTTCAATCTGACTTCTATTACCTTTACAGAGAGGAACAATCTCCCATTAGCAACATCCCCAGAACAAACCAATTCTTATAAACTCACACATGGCCTCCCTGATCCCACATCTGCTTCTGCTAATTCCAACACCAATCACACTGCTCTACTATGGGGTCCCAAATCCTTTGCAATGTCCACAGAAATGTCACAGAATCATATTCATGGTAATGGAAGTTTATAAGGAAAGTTAACAGGTTACAATTCAGCTTGGCAGCAGGATACAATTCCTCAGTCAGGACTGCTTGTCAAGTGTGCTTCAAGTCCTTTCAACCTTCAGCCTCAGGTTAGGTCAAGTGTTACAAAGCTGTCTTAGTTCTGTCAATTATGGCATCTCCCTCAGCTCTTCAGCAAGCTTGGACGAGGGTCCCTGGCTCTGGCTCCAGGGAGCAGCAGTCCCAAGTCAGCTCTGTCTTGAGTTGGTCTCTGATTCTCTGCTAATGCTGACACTGCTCTCACGTAGATTCCTAGCTCCGAAGCATTTGTGCTGTACTCTCTGCTTCTTCTTCCTTGCTGATGGTTAGATTCTCCATCTTCTGCTGCTTACCTTGTTCAATTTAAATTTGGAGGTGTAGGAAATACTGTGAAATGATTAGTGTGTACACACCCTAATTTAGGCTCTCATCAGCACTCCCATGACTATGTGGTGAAAGTCAAAGCTGATTGGCTGGGAAAGCCATTTTGAACAATATACCCACACCACCACAATAACTCATACTCTGCTATGCTGGGACAAAAAGAGCCTCTTAGCTTGCAAGATTAAAAGAGAAGTTGTCCTGATTTTTTTTCTATGAACTATTTCTATATGAAGCAATTTAAAATGCCATGACTTGCCTAAGGCACACCTTAGTCTTTAAACTCATATCCATGGTCTCGAGCACTTTCAGTAAGTTCTTTATCGATTTGCCCAATGCAACATATCATTTGATTTCTGGGCTGCTACTACCATCGATGCTGATTGTGGATCCAAGTAAAATCAAGTCCTTGACAACTTCAATCTTTTCTTCAATATTATGATGTTATCTATTGGTCTAGTAGTACAGATTTTTGTTTTCTGGATGTTGAGAGGCAGTCTACGCTGAAAGATTTGGTCTTTAATCTTCCTCAGTGAGTACACCTGTCTTCTTCACTTTCAACAAGCAAAGTTGTACCATCTGTATAATGTACATTAGTTATGAGTCTTGCTCCAGTCCTGTTGTCACATTCCTCTTCATGTGGTCTAGCTTCTCAAATGATTTTCTAAGCATACATTCTGAATAGGTATGGAGAAAGAATACAACTTTGATGTACACTTTTACTGATTTTAAACATGCAATGTTCTTTGTTCTGTTTGAAAAACTGCTTTTTGGTGTATGTACAGGTTTTACATGAGCACAAACAAGTGTTTTAGAATTCCCATTCTTCTCAATGAGTTTTGGCAAAGAATTTTAAATTAATTGTAAAACAAGACTAACCATCTTTCCTAGGATCTGGAGTAAACGTTGTACACTTTGCACTAAAAAGACAGGATTTAGGAGTGGAAATATGATTTTACCTATTATAAATAACAGAGGTAGGTGAATAGAGGTTTTAGAAATATAGTTACAACTACAAAAGAATAAGGAGACAAATTAAAACCATGTAAGATTAAGAAGAGATAAATGGAAAGCAATGAAATTTCTCTGTCCAAAACAAACAAACAAAAAGCTAGTATTTTACTATTTAGACTAGGAGAGGGATATAAAAAGACACAGGGGGAAAATAAATCAACACTTGGAAAAAGGAATCAAGATTCTAGTCACCTCTGCTGAGAATTTACATTTCCACTCCAGACATAATGATTCAGAATCCACATTTAACGTGATCCTAGTGTGATTCAAGTCTGCATTCCTTGATCTTCTGCAACAAGGGCTTCAAGTCCTCCTCATTTCCAGCAAGAAAGATTGTGTCATCTGCACAACACAGGTTATTGATGAATCTCCAATCCTGATGCCACGTTCTCCTTCACAGATTCCAACTTCTCGGATAATTTGTTCAGCTTACAGATTAAATTAGTATGGAGAGAGAATACAAGTCCGACACACTCCCTTCTTAATTTGAAACCATGCACTGTTCCCCTCCACTGTTCCCACAACAGCTTCCTCGTCCAAATTTAGGTTTTGCATGAGCACAACTAAGTGCTCTGGGACTCCCATTCTTCTCAATGTCAGCCATAATTTGTTATGATCCACACAGTCAAATGCTTTCATTTGGATGTATGGATTGCACCTCAATGTCAAGAAAACAAAGATTCTTACCACTGAGCCAGTGTTGGTGAATAGGATGTGTTGCCTATCCACAAAGATAGTGGTTAGTCTCACCAATCCATAAGGTGATAAATTAGTCTCACTAATCTACAAAGGGATTGGCTAGTCTTGCCATTAAATTGAGCAGATCCAGCAATAGAATTGGAAGATCTTCCCCCTCGGCAAAAAAAAAAAAGAAGCAAGAGAATGTAGCATGTCCATTGGGCCCTGAAATTCTTGCGCCAGCTACTTATAGCAGCAACAGTCATGGCCGAAGCAGAGGTCCAGAGACCAATATGAGATGGAACTGACCTTAAGACTGCTACCGCCTGCAGAACCATAGGTAAGAACCTTTGCCCAAGTTTGTTGGGCAACTGGAGGACGAGGTGGAGGTGGTGGAGCAGGAAAGTGCTACAATTAGCAGAACTGAGACCTTAGTAACACTGGCCTAAAGCCAAGAGGTTCAAGACCAAGACAACTTTAAGCATATTTTGGAAGCTGTCCAGACTGCATTCGGCTTCTAACTTCGATTACAACCTGTTTGAATTCCCTAATATGGTTCAGTCTGTGAGCTATCACATCAGATTTTGGACCCTGGAAATATGTCTGACATGGGAATTGGTTTTGCGTGGTTGATGCTGTTGATAGGGACAGTTG